TTGGGCTTTTAGATTGTTTCTACCTTTTGGCTCTTATGAATAATGCTGCTATGAATATCATGTACAAGTGTTTGTGTGGACATATGTTTTCATTTCTTTTGCATATATCCCCAGAGGTGGAACCATTGGGTCATACAGTAACTCTATTTTAAACAATTTAAAGAATTGTCATGGGCTTCCCTGGTGGCGCAGTGGTTGAGAGTCCACCTGTCGATGTAGGGGACACGGGTTCGTGCCCCGGTCCGGGAGGATCCCACATGCCACAGAGCGGCTGGGCCCGTGAGCCATGGCTGCTGAGCCTGCGCATCCGGAGCCTGTGCTCCGCAACGGGAGAGGCCACAGCAGTGAGAGGCCCGCGTACCACACAAAAAATAAATAAATAAAAAATTTAAAAAAATAAAGAATTGTCAGAATGTTTTCCAAAGTGGCTGTATCATTTTACATTCTCAACAACAGTATACCAGGGGTCCAATTTCTCCACATCCTTGTCAACATTTGTTATTGTCTGTCTTTTTTATTTGAGTTATCTTAATGAGCGTGAAGTGCTATCTCCTGGTGGTACTGATTTGCATTCCAAATACTTTTGCTTTTGCATACATATTAGCATTTGCGCTTTCACCTATTTTAAGTGTAATGGATTATTTATGAAGTTGTTTACATACAGTACAGTACAAATGTAGGATATATTGTATAAAACATCCCCTAAAAATATGTTTTAAATACGAGAAAGAAGTTCTAAGACTTTGTTCCAAGATGTCACAGAACGGTTCTTTTTACTTTCCTGGGGTTAATACAACCCACTTGGAAACTATCTATCTAAAGATGAGGGAAATTTAAAATAAGAATTTTGCTGAAGATCAAGGATTCTAACATTCTTTCAGCAGTGTTTATTTATTGAAAACTCACTACATGTGAAGCATTCTGCTAAGTACTTTCCAGGATATAAACAACATAGAAGAATGTCCATGATGTCAGATGTCACAGTCTAATTTATTTCATAACCAAGTTTCTCTTGATATGTATTTCTTTCTTTTAAGTTTGGAGCATGTGACCAGATTACATAAACAATAATTCATGGTGCAATCAAACACAGTGAAACCAATCTGGCATATCTTAATAATACAGACAATAATTAATGGGTATGTAAGAAGCTATGAAAGGTAATGATTCACCTAAATTTCATCAACTTAGTGTTACACAATCCAGCTCTCCTTCTGTACATATGTACCTCTTCTCTGTAGGTATTAAATGGTGTTTGCTATCTTTTCTCTCTAGTTGTCTTCAAGAAATTTTTTTTCCTCTTAATTGTTCTGAATTTTTACTACAATGTGTTTAAGTACAATGTGTTAAGATTTATTTTTACTTATTGTGTGGAGGATTGACTGTGTCTACCTACTGTTAAGTTTCACTATGTTCATTAAATATAGAAAGTTCTCATCCGTATTGTCTTCAAATATTGCTTTTGGGTTTTCTGTAGGCTTTTTGGTTAACAATTGAACAATGCAAGTGAGCAGAGAATGGTTAGTTTGAAGCAAAATCATCTCCATAATGACAAGAAGGATAAGAAAGAAATCAGCAATAACATTAGCAAATAAAATAAAATAATTTTAAAGTAACTGTGAAAACAAAATGATGCTGGTGGAGAACAACCCCAATATTATGCATGCATCTTAAGAGCAGCGGTAACTAATACACTTGTTCAGATCCTGTAACTTGTAGGCAATCTCACCTAAGTATCACAGGCTAGTTGAACTCACAATGAAGGCAGCCCTTGTGCAAGCAACTATGATGAGATGTAGTTATTGCCACGGTTCTGAGGATGGATGTGGGGGAATCTTGACATCCAAGAGCAAGATCTGAGCAATCTGAATGATTTGTGTGATCCAGGTAAATTCCTTCCTTTGTCCTGAGTGGCAACTATGTAATTCAAATGGACCCCATTAACTTTCAAAACTACTAGAAAAGCAGGGAACCCAATGGAAACAGGGAAGACTGCTAGTTTCTGGAAATCCTCAGCAAAAGAAGGAACAGGAGTGGGTGGAGGCAGAAGCAGTAGAAGGAGGCCATCAGCTCTGTGGAAGGACAGCAGTTCAGAGAGGAAGAGGTCCAGGAGCTGGGGGCAGTGGGAGGAGCCACTTGACCCCCTAACTACGAGCCTTTTTGTACATCTTCCTGGGGACTCTTGTGAGACTAGGAAACCTCCCAGCATCCTATGAGGGAGGTGTGCTTAGCCTTCCAGGAAGTTTTGGCACTCAGGCTGCCACACATATCTCATGGGAAATGATGCAGCCATAAATAAAAGATACTAGTAGGCCTCAAACCAAACTACAGGTCTCAAAGAATAAGTCAGAAGCAGTATATTTTATAAATAAAGGAACATGGGCTATAGGTCTTCCTAGTAACTTGGCTCTGGGCAAGTCACTCAATCTCTCTGAATCTCTCTAAGCCCGAGTTCCTTTATCTTTGATATATGACATTACCTACCCATTAAGGCTGTTGCTAAGATTAAAACCTGAAATGTTTGTTAAGATTAGCACAAAGAGTGCTGATAAATGTGACTTTTTTTCTTCTCCCAAACCCAGGTCTGCTCCCGCTTCCTTTCAGGAACTTGTGACATAAGGATACCCTTCCTAAAAATTAATAACTAGGGTTAGAATGAAAAATGAGGCAAACTCCACTGTTAATCTCTGCACAGTTCTCACTACCTCATGCTCTCATTCACCTCTACACCTTGGGGGAAAACTATCAAGGGGATTTTCCTATATGATTTCAATCCTGTTGATTCATTTTCTTTTTCTTTGATAGAAAAACTACATGGCCCTCTTGGAGCTATCTGAGCAAAATTCTAGTTGTTTTTGTCACAGAAGACAGAGAGTTAAATTGAAGGAGCTGAAATCCATCACTGGTCAGGGTGACTCCAAGTGTTTCGCGGACCAACAGCATCCGTATCCATGGGAGCCTGCTTTGTAACAATATCTCAGGTGTACCCAGATGAATGTTTGAGAAACACAGCACACCCTCTCTTCCACCTTGCAACTATTGCCTGTAACTTCCCTCATCTCAGTAGGGGATGGAGTGTGGGGAGCTTTTGTTTTGCCCTCAGTCTCCATTTCAATCCATTATCCATGGCAGAGCCATTCAGGAGTCCCTGGTAGTTCAGTGACACAATCCATCAGAGCTGAATTACACCGAAACTCTCAAGGAACAGGCTGGTTCTCTCTGTCTGCGCTTGGGCGACTACCTTGTCAACAGCCAAGAGAAGAACAAGGAGAGGGTGTGAAGGATTTGGATTTTTAATACCCAAGGTACACAAGCAAGCACAGAATATCCCTTACACACAACACAGCTGGACAGACCTATAGCCACTCTCTTACCCTGGGGCCTGCATCCTGACCACACAGAAAGAGAATCCATCAAAGGAGAGCCTTTTAGTCTCTTAAAAGCACTAAATAAAAAAAAAGTAAAGAAGCTGAATTTGGCAAGCAAATGGTAGCAATGTATCTGCAAGCAGAATAAGCATCTTTGTGTGTGTGTGTGTGTGTGTGTGTGTGTGTGGCAGCATCCTCTATCGCTTTATGTATTAATGCAATGCTAATTCATTCTACTAATGAGAGTTATAACAGGAGGGTAATGACCAGAAGCCCCATACAAATTATTCTTCATCTGTTTTCTTTTCTTTATCTCTCTCTTTTTTTTTTTCCTTTTAACAACGGACTGATTAGGGCCTGAAACAAAGCAAATGTAGTATCTGTCAACTCACTATAAAAATGGACGGGAAATTCTACGAGGGTTTTTTTGTTTCTTTGGCATTTGTTTCAGTGCTGCACGGATTTATCCAGAAGTGAGCTGGGCAGTCAGTATCATAAAAATGACTAAATACGAACATAAAAAAATTAAACCTTTGTACCTTGGACCAAGCTAATGGTTACCCAGCTCCAGCCTCATCTCCATTTTTATTGGAAACAAATTACACATCTATGTATGACTCAAAGGGTGCTTCCTTTTATCCTTCCCCTTCTGAATGTGTGTAGTTCAGGTGTTTCAGTTAACTTTGTACCAGCAAAACTTTGTACAGCTGCCTTCAGGCTTGTATGTCCTGCTCACACAGACAGACTGATACAAGTTTCATGCCAGCTCACCTGCTATTTCACAGAGATAAGTTGATTCAGACCAAATCTTTTGCCCACAAACATGTACAGATCTCTCCATTTCTTTTTAAATAAGCAAAATAAAAATATTTTTCTCCTCTATGCTACCTCCTTAACCTCTAGCGAGTCTCTTATTAAAAACTGCTCATAATTTGAGTTCAGCAAATCTGTTTTAAGTACATACTCTGAGACAGATCTCACTTAACACTCCTATTAGCCTTACGTTGCAGGCAAGATCTTCATCTTGCATAGGAGGAAATCAGCAGAGACGTGTCTAACATCAAACAGCAAATAAGAGAAAGAACTGGGATTCACTCTAGGTCTTTTAACTAAGTATCCAGGGATCTTCTCAGTAGCTCAGTGCTTCTCGAAGTGTGGGAGCTGGTCCAGCAGCATCAGTATCATCCAGGAATTTGTCAGAATGAAAATTTGGGCAACTCATCCCAGACCTACTGAGTCAGAAGCTCTGGAGGTGGGAGCCAGCAGTCCATGTGACAACCCCACAGGCAATTTGTTGTCAAGTTCAAGGGCTGTGCTAGCCCAAGCTGCCTCTGTCTCTCCCTTCAGAACTATTTGGAAAGACAGAGGAGGCCCATTGCCCTCTCTTACTCAGAAGCCACTCCCTCCTTAACAACTTCATATCCATGCCTACAGCTTTCTTACACAGCACTGTGTTTGTGTGTTTTCCTTTCTCCATTCTGCGAACATTCATTGAACGCATTCGATGGGTGGGATGCTGTGTTGGAAGTTATCAATGTAAATGCTCAAACAGAGCTTCTCTATGTTCAGAGAGAATGGCAGTGGTGCTAGAACAACCCTCATCGAAAGCCATCGTGATTTTCTCATGAGCACATCTAGGGGCTTCGCCTCAGTCCTCCTGAATCCCCAAGGCACCTGACACTACTGACCTTGCTTCTTCATTGCTTAGGAATTCTCTTCTTTTGTAACTCTGTGCCTCAGCTGGTGGTTTCTGTCTTTTCCATTAGCGTTACTGTCTCACATTCATTCCATCATATAAGTTCTCCCTAGTGTTTCATTTGTATCCATCTTCTCTTCTCTTTATATACTTCCTCCTGTTAGTTTTCTCGAAGATTCTCACTCCTCCTGACTTTTCTGCCTCTCTTAACAGCACCTTCATTTCCCACGGAAGCTCAAAACCTCAGCCTCTTTTTACCCTTTCTCCAGTATCCCAACCTGTATTTAATCAGAAGCCAAGTCCTCAAGTTCATACCTTGGTGAATCTAACATCTCATTTTCACTCCCACTGCCACCAAATTAGTTAAACCTCTCCTTATCTCTAACAAAGGTTATTTCACTAAACATTTATCTGGCCGCCTCATCTCCAGCCTCCAGAATCCATCCACTATGGTACAATAGACAAAGAAGTTTTTGTAAAAACTACATTGCTAGCTTGCTTCGAAACTCTGTTTCCATCTTGTCTACCAAGCTCAAAATTGTCTTTTAAGAAGACTTGCTACGATATGATTCCAAATTAACTCTTCCAGGTCTATCTACCCTATGTGCCCAATAACTTCGATAAAAGAGATCACCAATAAAACTTTTCCAAATGCAAGCTTTTTTTTTAACTTCTTTTTATGTATTTCTTTCTTTCAGTTAGTTCATCCTTTACACCTGCCCTATCCTGCTCTTCTTTAGGGTCTAACTGAAATAACACCTTCTCCATGGTGCTGACCTAGTTCCACCAATGGGTATGGTTTCCTTCTCCGTCAAATTCCCAAAATGCCTTGCTTGTTCTCCGCCAGCCCTTTGTTACTCTCCTTTGAACCTGGATATTGGTGTGGCTGGATTATCACCTGCCCTCAAGAGATACATGTCTTTTGCTGCCCTAACCAGTAAGTTTCTCAGGAGAGAAACTCATTAAATATTGGTGGAATGTAATTGAAATTAGTTTTCTTTCTCCCATTTCTCCTTTACACACATAATCCTGTTTTGTTCTTAACATTTCATTCACAAATCAAATTTAGCTTCTATCCCAAAGATCCAGAATTTACCTTTTACAGAGCCTAATTCAAATTTATCCTCTGTGCCCTTTATTTCATCATGTCTTACATTTGGTTCCCAGAATTCATAAGCGGTTTGGATATGGTTTGTCAACTCACATCTTAATTATAGTGGAATAAACCCAGGCAGATCTGAATGAAATGTCTCCCCTATATGACCTTTCCATTACCTATTTCTAGTCTCTCAGAAATTCAGTTTCTGTGTCTGTAGAAAGGGGCTACTCTAATTCTTCTCACCTTAGAAGCTAACAAGGCCAAATAAGAAAATGAAATTGAAACATCTAACAACATAACACATGACAGATCATTCTTTAATGCTTTGGAATTAAAAAGATTTGCTTTCATTTTACAAATAAAGAAACCAAGGCCCTGCTCTGTGATCACCAGCTTGAAGGAAGCAGAGCCAACACTGAAATTATTGTCTCCTGGCTCCCTGCCAGGTCTTCTCCAGGTAAATGATGCAAATCCCTCCAGGGGTAAACTGGGTCTGGTTAACTGAAGGCCAATGAGGGAGACAGTCCTAAGCAGGCCTTGGGCTGTTCCCATACCCTCACCCCACCCATGGGGGAAGCCAGCATTTAGATCCCCTCCTCTTGTTATACAGGGAGCCTCTCAAGGCCTAGGGAGCAATTTTGGAGCCATTTTGGCAGGGCCCTGGCAGCAATAAGAAACGTTTTGCATGGTTTCTACAGCAGCTGGCTGACTCACGTAGCAGGAGTTGGGGCTACAGGCAGCTGCGGTCTGACCTTTCAGACCTTCTCTCCTGAGTATGTCTGGGAGTCTCTGGGGCAGTTGTGACACCCTGTGGCCAGGTTGGCTCATCACAGCAGAGTGTCCCTTAGTAAAACCAAGAGCGTGTGGGAACGGGTACAGGCGGAGTGAGAGCTGCTGGCCTGAGTTTGTGGAACATTCAGCCTTCTGACTTCAGCTCATGCTCAGTATTCCTCCAATGCCCAGCCCCACTTCCACCCCAATTAGATTTTTTGGCCTTTTGGTGTTAATCCAGAACACCCCCAAGAGAAAGGAGATGAAAAGAACCAAAGAGGTGAAAACCACAGGAAATGACTCAGAATCAGTACTTAATGCCTCCAGATGGCAGAGGCCATGTCCTTCTCTCCATAGCTCCCTACCCACCCCATCAAGCTCACTGTATACTGTAGGTGCTCTATAAATGTTACCGAATGTTGAATATGGCCATGCCCAACAGCTTGATCAAGGGCTAATAACTGTGCTATTGTATTAGATCTGATCTATCAATACAAGTTAATCTCATACTTTTAAAATATAATTACAGTTTGACTTGCTCTTGCTACATAGTCTCCAACAGCAAGAACAAGGAACCCTACGTCTCAGTGCCTTTCTAGAGAAGTTTAGAAGACAGGATTTCACCTGTGTGCACTGATGCAAGAAATTTCATTAGACCACAAGGAGACAATGCTATTCACTACTCACATACCTGTGCCCTTTCCTAGACTCGCCCTGCCTTTGTTCAGCTTTCCTTCACTCTCTCTTCTTCCTCCCAATACTCACAGTGTCTTTTCTTTCCCTTTTGGAAAGACCTCTACTTCCAGTTTTATCTTTTCATGCTTGCTTTTATCTTTTGAGAAAGTATTTTTTATTAAATAATTGAGTACCACAGGACATGAGGCTGGAATGGGATTAACTCTAACTCTGGCCTCTTCCCGGTGAAGTACACAACAAAACACAACAGAGTGTAGCTTCAGGCAAAGAAACACAACAGCTACCAGTGTAAGTAAACTCACTTAACAGGATTTGTAATTTTGTGAAATTATTTAGAAAGGCACTATCATGTCGCTTGTACTGGAGGAACTGACAGTCTGAAAAGCATCTTTTGTTCTATGCTGGTTTCTCGAAGTGTCTTAGAGTATTACTGTCTACTTCTATCAGATTAAAATAAAATAAAATAAAAAGAACATGAACAATTATCCAGAGATGGTGATATTCCCATAGTTGGATAACAGTTTGGACAGGAGAGAGAGACTAGAGCTGGAGAAGGAGGGCAAAGTTCTATGTAACCTAGACAATGGCCCAATGTCAGGAGAACCAGCTCTGGTGGTTTCCGTCCACACTGCTGGCTGTCTTTCCAAATTGCAGCCAATGGTAGCTGTTGCCCTTGGACACTGTGCTGCCAGCCATACTGGATCTTACTCAGCACTTGTGACAGGTCCAATCTCAACCCTGTCCTACTAGGCTCTATGTAATCTTCCTCCTCTAAATTCTACCCCACCTCCTGCAGCGTTAGATGTCCTGGCTGTCTGTTTCCTCCTTCTGCCGCAGATCCTTTGCACTTGCTATTCCCTCTGCGGAGAATGTGTGTCCCCCCAACCCCTTGCATAGAATGACTCCTCGTTCCATTCATAACTTGCCTTCATGTTACCTTTTCAAAACTCACCTTCCCCTCTGCCCTCCACCATGCTCCATTCCTTTGTCTTGCTTTATTTTCTCTATTTATTTACAGTAATCTGGAGTTACCTTGCATTGCATATTTATTGTGTTATTCTTTATTACCATTTTTTCCATGATGCCTGGGCTCTTGTCTCTTTTAGTCAGTGTTTAGTACTTAGTAGGTGCTCAATAAATATTTATTGACTGAAAGTATTAGGCCTGCCTGGCTTTTGTCTGAACCTCTTCTTCCCCCAAATTTCCAACTTTGTCTTGCAGATGAATTATTAGAGGGAAACTTACTTCTCAATTTCTTATAGTCATATAGCACTAGATCTGAGACAACTAATTTTTCAATCTGTAAAATAAGGTCACATATGTTTTCTAACATGCCATACCAAAAGAGTCATTGGAATTTTAGAAAAGGAAATTAATATTTACTGATGACTTACTATATGCCCACTATAACGCTAGGGGATTTCCAGACATTTTGTGATTTATTTCGCTCAACAACTATTCTGGTTGGCAATATTATCTATATTTTATAGATGAGGAAACAGGTTCAAAACTGTTAGAGATTTAAAAACTTGACTAAGGTTACAGCGGGTTGAATAGTGTTCCCTAAAAAGACATGCCCAAGTTCTAACCACAGGTACCTGTGAGTGTAATCTATTTAGAAATAGGGTCCTGTCAGATGTAATTAAGTCTTAAGATGATATCATACTGGATTTAGCGTGGGCTCTAAACCCAATGACTGACATTCTTATAATAAGAAGGGAGAACACAGAGACACAGCCATGAAAAGATGAAGGTAGAGATTGGAGTGATGTGTCTACAAACCAAGGAAGGCTAAGGATTGCTGGTAGCCACCAGAAGCTGGGAAAGAGGCAGGCGTGGCAGAGATTTCCCCTCCCAGACTCCAGAAGGAACCAATCCTTGATGTTGGGACTTCTATCCTCCAGAACTATGAGAGAATACATTTCTTTCATTTTGTAACCAAGCAGGACTCTATGGGGTTTTTTCGGGGGTGGGGGGGACGGACAGGCCCTTCCCCCATATCCTCTGCTTTAGCTCCTACCTGAAGTATCCAGAAAACAGTATTCCATACATATTTCCTGAGTTGTTTTACAGATGTGAACACCCCCCCCCCCACGGAAGATCTTAACTACTTGATGACCATGAGCACATAGCCCCAGGCCTCCTGCAGTCTAAGGACTGATAATGTTAACCCCTCTGACCCGGCCCTGTTACCTCACCCTCAGCCAATCAGAGAACTGTGCATGAGCTGATCACATACCCTGTAACCCTCCTCCCTCATCTGGCTTTTAAAAAATGCTTTGCAGAAACCCTTCAGGGACCTCTGGAGTTTTTTGGGCAGGAGCCACCCGTTTCCTGGCTTGGCCCTTCAATAAACCTCTCTCTGCTCCAAACTGGTGTTTCGGTTTGTTTGGCCTGTGGGTTGGGCACACGAACTTAGGCGAACAATTTTAAGCTGTCCAGTTTTTGATCGTTTGTAACCTATTTAACTAACACAAAACCCTGGGTGGTAAGTGGCAGAGCAAGGATTTGAACCTGGATCTGTTGAATCCAAATCCTGCACTTGCCCCACCAGGCCAGTTGACTTCCCTGAATCCTACAACAGAGCGCCATCCTTGCTCAGCACAGTATAACAATAGAGAAAGATTTAAAAGCAGAGACTCATAACGAAATAAAATCTGCAAGTATGGTTGCTACCTTTAGTCGTATTATCATCTATATTCATACCCTACGTGCAAAAGATGACCTCACACGAAGGAAATTCTCCGGTGATTCCAAACTGAAAGGGTTGCAAATGCCAGGAAAGAAAGAAGAGACAGGCAGGGGAACTTAGCAGCAATAGCAACCAGAGAGCAGAGTATAATAAAAGGAGACTTAACTGGAGGGAAAGAGCAGCGGCTGCCTTTGAAGAGAAATATTCAAAGCACAGAGCAAACTTGAAAAAGAATCAAGAATCCTGAGAAGAGACACATGGGCACGGGCAGCTAGTGGGATTCAGACTGGTCATGCAATGCTGTAGCAGGGAGGGAAAAAAAGAGCTAATATTTCGAAGTTCAGCTTCAGAAGTGGAAAAATCACACAGCTGGTAGGTTGCAAAGTCCCTTATTATGAGGATCTAATGTGAGGATTTTCTCCAGTCCTTTCAAATTAGGACATAGAAATGCACCAGCACGAGGTAGGAAACTGATGAAAGGGTTAAACCAAGGGGCTACATGCAGCAAATGGATTGATTTCTGAGGACAGATGAAAAGCGATAAATATGTGCATTTGAGGAGGTGATAATTAAGGTCACTGGGGAAGCCCTGGGAGGAAACGGGGGGGGGGGGGGGGGGGGGGGGGGGGGGGGGGAAGGCCAGCCTGGAGGCAAGGGTGAAATTGCTTAGAATATCCCACGCAGGCAAGTGGATAAGTGGGAGGAAACCATAGAGGAGCCCCAGGGCAAACTTCCTGACAGCATGAAGTTTATTGTGTCTCCACATAACTCAGGTTCCAAGTGACCTTTTGCCATTCCACAAGTGAAGTCATTTCCTTTGAGGAAAGGTGCTATACAAATGTAAACAGGTAAGTCTGTGCTGCACAGAGTGCAAGAAATTGAATACATTCCGGAATCCTCCTGTCCTGATCCTCAAGAGACAGACTGAATGTGACCTCATGGACCTTTCTTTTCATCTTCTATTGATGGGAATTGTACCTGACACCACCAATTTGGTGTCCCCTTTCCATCTGGGAAATTCACAAATAAGTGATATTACTGGAGACCACACTGTTTTAATAAAAACACTCTAAGGTCAGTTGTGACCCTGCTTGTCTGGAAGAATAGTTATGTGGCCAAGACTGGTGAGTCTGGAAAACCCTCGATCAGGAAAGACTGGGTTCTGATCAAATAAAAGTGACTTAACTCTGTACAGAACTACCCAGGAGTAGACCCTTGTAGAAATCAAGAGTTTGCCCATTTTCTCTGCATGTGCATCTGTGTCTACATCTCAGTTGCTTTGCATAGGTGGCGTCTGCCACCTGAAATGTCCTCCTTTGCTCCATTTGTCAAAGTCCTGATCATATAAAATATAAGGCTTAATCCAGATGTTTCCTACCCTGAGAAGCCTTCCCTGATTCTTAGGTCAGCAGTAAGCCCTCTCTCCTCTGGATGCTATTTTGGTGCTTGTCACAGTCTGCTATCATTCTTCTACTAGCTGCTGTGGCCCAGGGTCTCGGAATCAGAGGTCAAAAGGATGAGAGCCATGTTCCACCTCTGTTCACCCCCATAGCACAGCCCACCGCATAGGACCATGCTTACCAGCAGAGTCTAATTACCTATAAACAGAAAAGACACTAAGGATGATTTTCTCCCAGCTGTGAATTAACTAAAAAGGTCACCCAAAAATGTGACCTTTCTCCCCAAGAAACGGTGATATCAAAAGCTAATGAAATCTGAACTTTATCATTTTCCACTGAACTTTTCATTCTGTTTTAGGATATTAAAAGAGAGAGAAGCATGGAGAAAGGGAAAAACTGGAAGTCAGGAGTTAGATCATAAGAGGCGCTTCCATTCCATTCACAGGTGATCTTTGTTATTAGGCCAGACATAAAGTATAGTCAAGTCTTTATACACGGAAGATATTGTAGGTTTGCTGAAGATAGATATCACATCTCTTTAAAAAGATATACTGAGTACTTAGTACGTGCTTGACCCTATAGCTGATAATAAATATCTCTTGGTCCTTGCTCATGGTAGCACTCAATATATATTGGCCTTGCAATGAATAAATGAATGAATGAAGAGGTTTGAACTAGATCAGGGCTTCCCCTGGCCACAGATACCTGGGGCCCTAATTACAAAAGGGTCCACAAAATTTTTGACTCTTGAAGTCATATTTTTTAATCTTTTAAGCTCTAAATCAGGGGTCTCCAACCCCTGGGCCACGGACCGGTACCCGTCCATGGCCTGTTAGGAACCTGGCCGCATAACCAGGAGGTGTGCAGTGGGAGAGTGAGGGAAGCTTCATCTGTATTTACAGCAGCTCCCCATCGCTCGCATAACCTCCTGAGCTCTGCCTCCTGTCAGCATTATGGTGAGTTGTATAATTATTTCATTATATATTACAATGTAATAATAATAGAAATAAAGTGCACAATAAATGTAACGTGCTTGAATCATCCCAAAACCATCCCCACGCCCCTGCCCCGGTCCATGGAAAAATCTTCTTCCAAGAAACCAGTCCCTGGTGCCAAAGAGGTTGGGGACCACTCCTCTAAATGGTTTCTAATGAACCATTACTGCCTGCATTTGTTCTCAGGTCCAAGGGGAGGAGCAATTATAAAATAAGGGCAGTACTTATGGCCCAAGGGAAAGCGTTAATGTCAGAGGCTCAGCAAAATACAGAAGTGCAAGATGCAGCAGGATCCACGGAGAACAAAATAAGAGCTCTCAGAATAAACTCTGAACTCTTTGCCAGAGATTACATCAGATCAAGATGTGATCCACTTCCCGTTTTCTGATTAAGGACAGGTGTTCTGTATCAAATATACCTGAATGTATTCTTTACACTACACTCTTTGGTTTAGTGGTTCTCAAATGTAAGGTGTCTAAGAATCATTAGTAGTATTCATATTACAGTATTAATACTCATTTATACAGCAGTTACTCAATGCCAGGCTTTTGGAAAAGATAGTCAAAATATAGATTCCCTAGCTCTATCCCTAAGGATTCTCATTCTGTAGGTCTGGAGCTGGAGCCCAGAAATTTATATTTTTAATAAAAGACCCACATGATTCTAATGAGGGTGGTCCTGGAACCAAACCTGGAGGAAGATGTTTTAGTTCCATTTGTTTCATGACCTTCATAGATCTGCCTGTGTCATCTTAGAGTCAATAAATCATATCCAGAGTGGGGAAGGGTCTTTTAAATCACCTTAGCCTAATCCTGTTTTGCTTAACGAAAATTGCAGTTATTTAAAGGCAAGACAATGCAAACTTTTTTTTTTTAATCTCTTGCTTTTTTACTTAAATTCTCCTCTCTGGCATCAAACTTAGCCTCCTGCACAGTTTGGAACTGAAGAGTGATTCGGTGGTTCATAATCTGCTCCCTCGATTGAATTTCCATCAAGACTTCAGTTTCCAAGATGTGCATGAGGGAGAGTCAGTCTTAGGTGGAAGCATCCTGTAAGGTGAGCCCTGCTTCATCAATTTGTAGCTTTGTGACACTTGTTCCCTCTCTTTGAGCTGCACCTTGAGAATGAGGCTATAAAGACCTACCTCCCAGAAATATTGTGATTAAATGAAATGTTTAAAATATTTGACCCATAGGAAGTCCTCAGTAAATATTAGTTCCACTAATATTGTATAATCATGGATCCAATAGCAATAACATGTTTTAAGTGGCAAAACAACACTTTACTATCACAGTTCTGTTGCCAAGTACTTGACTTTCAAAACAGTAAATTAACTTCTTCCACAGTCTTTCTCTCTCTCTCTCTCTCTTTCTCCCCACCCCACCCCAGGCTCACATGTGTGTGATATAAAGTTGAACCATATACAACTGATGTGATCAACCATTTTCAATCTTTGAAAACAAAAATTTCACACAATTTCACTTAATATATAAAATATCTACAGTTATGATTTCGATGACACCATATTCTCATCAACCCAAATGAAATTTTACATTACTAACTGGACCTCTAATTGTCAGACTTTACCATAAATTATGGGGTATCAGCACTTATACAATTAGTAGATGAGAATTCCATGCAGTTTCTCATCCTTAACTGTCTTCTAGAGAGTTTTAGATTTTGAACTTATGTTCAGTATGTCCTTCGTACTTTAGTCAGAGGCAACATTTTTCCAACTGTCAAAGTCAGTTTGGGCAGTTCTTTCAAACCTCTTGTGCCTGGTTCTTAAAGCAAAAGAAAAAAGTGGCTCTGAAAGGTCACAGGAATATTGTTCTCAGCTATCGACTGAAATCCAAACAGCTGTCAGATTGCAAGAAACATCAATTCTGTCAAATTACACTACCCAAATTCCTGTCAAAGGGTCAATAAATTGTGTAAAAGCAGGACCCCTTATGAAATGCAATTAGAAATTACAGATCAAAGGGCAGAGCAGGCCAAAGGTAGCTTGCCAAGGCTAAGAAGGGACTGAGCTAATCTCACATTTGAGCAGAGAGAGATTAAAGGAAGCAACGCTTAACTTAGAAAGTGATTATAATATTTATTAATAGTAAAGTATTACAACACAAATTCCTACCAGCTAGCAATTGTTCCTGGTGATGGAGGAGACAGAAGAGATAGTCCTTTTTTACAATTAAGATCTAAAGATATATGACTAGCCCTTTAGATTTCTTTCTTTCTCTCTTTATTAAATCAACTTTAAGTATAATTTACAAAAAGGCGGGAAAATTGGGGTAGAGGTAGACAGCCAATGTAAATGTCTAAAATCTGACACATTTATGAGTGAAGGGTAAAAATTCATTAATCAACTGATTATTTTTGTCTATATAAAGTCAAGCACGGTAACGTTCCTAAATCTATGAATTTGGAGAAATAATAAATGACTTGGCATTATGGAAACATATGATATAGCTTTCCCAGGGTCAACAGCAAGTCAAGTCAATAACAAAATGAGACAAGAGGTACGAGTTCCGAATTCACCTGTCAGTCAGACATTTTTGAGACAGTGTCCTCTACTTGCCCACTCCTGTCTCATCTCCCATTTATCACTTAACCCTCTGCAATCTGCACATTCCCAACCTTCACAGAAACATCTCACGGTGACCACCAATTCAATCCAATGACTAGTTTTCTTTTTTCTCTTATTATATTGTGGTAATTGATACTCTAATCAATGCAACTGAGGCAGGAGATAGATGAGCCCCAGGCTGAACAGCTGGAGTTTGTCCTCTGTGCACAGATACTCCAAAATAGCAGGAGGGAGGAGAAGCTGCGCCTTGCCCAGATAAGAGATGAAAGACCATGTATTCCTCATTCTCAAAGTCAAGGAGACCTTCCCGACTACACATGTGTAGAAAGGCTCCTTGGAGGTCAAAAAGGGAGGGGGCGCCACCGCATAGTAAGTGATGTCAACCTACCCATAGGCCTCTTCGCTAGAATCCATCTTGGCTAAGAGATGCATTCACATACATGGGAGGATCCTGAGATAAACCAAATACAGACTCAGGATCAGGCAAAGCAAGATGACCGGCCGAAGGAAACCTGGAAGAAATGCCCCATAAAAGTGATCCAAACTACCACAACGGTGCGACTCTCTCTCTGAGCCACCCGTGTGTCTATCCATACGTACTCTTTTCCCTCCTAATAAACACTTTACTTGCTTCACTACTTTCTGTCTCTCTGCGGAAATTCATTTCTACAAAGCTGACAGGCCAGGGCCTTGTTAGTGGCCACTGGTCTAGTGGCTAAGATTCAGCACTCTCACTGCCGTGGCCTGACTTCAATCTCTGGCTGGGAACCGAAATCCTGCTTCAAGCTGCTGCAGGCCGAGGCCGCCCAAGATCACAATCTCCCTGTTCCCACCTCCTGAAATTCTTCTCTGGTTTACCTTCCACATCCCTGGGTTGTGTCAAACACAGCTCTAGGAGGAAATAAGGCAATGAAGGCCGTAGGCAAGCCCCTGCCCAGGTGAGGAGACAAACAGGAAACAAATAAATACGTGCTGTCAAGTACTGTTACGTGTTAAGAAGAAAACTAAAGCTAGTGAAAGGGTAGAGTTAGGTCAGATGGAGAAAGACACATACTGTGTGATTTCACTCATGTGGAATAATCTAAACAAACAAACAAAAACAAAATAAATGAACACACCAAACCAAACAGAAACAAACATGTAGACACCAAGAAAGGAGTAGTGGTTACCAAGGGGAAGAGGCAGGAGAGAAAGCAAAATAGGTAAAGGGGATAAGCTGTGTGGTGACAGGTAGAAACTAAATTTTTGGTGATGAGCACGCAGTAGGGTAGATAGAAGTAGAAATATAATGTTGTACACGTGAAACTTATAGAATGTTATAAACCTCAAGGTTATTATCTCAATTAAAAAATAAATTGGGGCTTCCCTGGTGGCGCAGTGGTTGAGAGTCCGCCTGCCGATGCAGGGGACACGGGTTCGTGCCCTGGTCCGGGAGGATCCCACATGCCGCGGAGCAGCGGGGCCCATGAGCCATGGCCGCCGAGCCTGCGGGGCCGGAGCCTGTGCTCCACAATCGGAGAGGCCACAACAGTGAGAGGCCCGCGTACCGCAGAAAAATTAAATAAATTGAAGAAAAGTGGGGGAGGTAGAATGTAGGGGGAGGTGGATGTTCTTTAAAATCAGAAGATCTGGGAAGACCTCCTGCAGAGGGATGTCTGGGCAGAGACTTGAGCAAAGACTGTTTCAGCTCCTTCTCTCAGACTCAGTTCTGGGGGCTTCTATTTGCATATTCAAAGACCCTTGCAGGTGAGTTGGTCTCCTTCTGGTCGAGATACGCCGTCTCCAAGCTCTGCCTTCTCCCCTCCCCACACAACTTTCTAAGAGGTAAAGAGCAGGGTGAAGATGTTATCTATCCCTCACACTTCGAAGGCAGAGCAGCAAGAGTCTAATTTGGGTTTGGGATTTGGGGTTTACCTTTGGTATATTCTTTTAGAGGACAAGGCTCACAATAGTGCAGGTGTGTTCTGACCCCTGTAGAGGACAGCACCCCCAGTCTGCCCCTCATTCTAAATACAAGCTGCTTACAAACTAAGGCAGCACAAGATCAAATTAAATTTCTTGGCAATCTTGTCATTCCGTTGACTCACCCTGAATTTACAGTAAACTTCTGCCTCTGAGCCTTTTTTTCATGTAGCCGCTGCTTTCACAGTATCTTGCAAATGGGCTGCCCCTCTTAATAAGAACCACTTCTTTGGCTGCTGTAGCCTGCTGAATACCATACTTTAAAAAAATAACATAATGATAGGAAAACCCCCACAGAAATGTAAATTGGCTTTCCGCTTTCTGATTAGATTACAGGATGGGGAGGGGCGGAACCCCTTGGCAGAAGGGGCTGCAACAAATCTGCAGAGATTTCCACATTCCCTTGTGCACTGCGCAGTATCTTGCAGCATCTGAGATTAGCCCTTTGCCACCATGTTGTTGAATATTCCTCTTTCTAGCCCTCTTTTGATTTTTAATTGGGTTCAGATTCTCTGCCCAAGAAAAACTGAATGGCTTCCAAATGGATACAAATATCAAAGGTGTGTTTTGTATCCTCTATATTGAAAAATCCTCAAAAGGGAATTAGGATTTTCTCCTGGTTTGGTGTTATAGATAAGTAATGGCTGGGTGCCTACTAATTTAGAAAGGACCACATATTGAAAATATGTGAATGTATAGACAACAATCTTTGGACAATAAAAAGAGAGTGCATTGGAGTTTTCTCTCAAAATATTAATTTTAACTTTGTCCTTCCTTTTCTCCCCCATACTTTGTGCATACCTATATCATAAAATTCATCATAACCATTAATTTTCATGCTGTTCCCATCACCAAATTGGAAGTTGCCAAGGGCAGATACCAGTCCCATTCAATTTTGTGGTCTGGATTAGTAGTCCTTAAATTTGAGCATTACGATGTATCAGCATCACCTGAGGTCATGTTAGAACACGAATTGCTGGGCCACACCCCTGAGTTTCCAATTCAGCAAATGAATCAGAATGAGGCCTACTCATTCTCTGGTGTGTGCCTGAGAATCTAAATGTCTAACAAGGTCCCAGGTGATGCTGTTGCTGCTGCTGCAGGGGCTACACTTTGAGAACCACTGGTCTAGAGCCTAGTACGGTGTCTCTTTCATATCACGGCCTCTACAAATACATAATGAAAGGCAAAAAGCAAGAGAATGGAGGGAAGAGAAGGAAGAAGAAAAATGAAAAAATGTGCTTATGGAAATGGGATAAGAGCTGATTTTGGAGGCCTCTTGGGATGTCTCAGAAGAGTGTGAAATGGAGCTTTAGAGTCAAGTATAAATCAGAGATCCTTTTCTTTCCCTCACAGATTTGCTGGAAATGGTTTAGGAACCAGATTCGAGTGTTTCCCATTTTAAACACTGACTGACAGCAAGTGGAGGGGGGAGGGGGATTGAAAGACCACGATTCACTCTGAGAGGCAGAAATTTTCAAGAACTGCATGACTTAGTCTAGGAAACATTGTTAGTTTATCTATTGCCCTCTGGGGCAGAACAAGCTAGTTTTCTTAGCTATTACCAGGCTACATTTTTCATTCCCATCCAAGAAAGTGTGTCTTCATGACTGAGGACCCAAAGGTAAACATTTCAAACCCATCTGCTACATATTGAATATTCTGGGTCTTTTTTAAGCACTCAAGATTGCTTGATCTTAAAATTATGTATAGTATCACGTGGACCAAAGAACCAGCTGTTTGACTAAGTTTTCTTCTTTCCCAACAGTTGTGCTGGACCATTTTTCACACAGTGTTAACCTGACAGCATGGCCCTGGTGAAATCCGGTTACCCACACTTTTCATAACCACAGTTTTATTGTGGCAAAAGAGATGCAATGACTGTCTTCGGTTAATTGACTACACTAAAGAAAGGAGAGATCACCTGGTTATTAAACCAGTACTCTATTTAAGTTTCTAATAGGAAAAAAATCTGTGTGCCCCAAAGGGACATGAAAGGTTTGGTGCACCATTGGAGGGAAGAGGGAGCACACGGTCTTTTTCTGATTCATAGCTCTGTCACTTATTTGCTCTGTGAACTTGTGCAAGTTACGTGTTCACTGATGCTTGAGCTCATCTATAAAATGGGTATAATCAAAGTTAAAGTAAAAATTTGAGATAGGGTTTGTTAAACAGAACACAAACACCAGCATATTGTTGGCATTTAATAAGTAGTTGGGGTAAATCTAGATACGTCATTATGGTCTCCACTAGAGGTAGGTTGTTGTTTTGCTTTGCTTTGCTTTTTTTCTACAAAAGTAGGTCACTTAAAAATCCTCTTCCCCGCTATCTTAAGAGAGTAAGATTTGTTCACATGGCTACTATCGTGATGAAGATTCTCACGTGAGTCCTGTTTACTATTCAGTCATTTATTAGAATACATGGATTTTTTTTTTTAAACAAGAAGCGTTGCATGAGGATGAGGTGTTTGGAGGAGACCATACAGCATGCTCCATGAATTCTGTAACCTGGGACCACTGAGGCAGCATTAAGCCCAAGAGTGGGTAAATACAAGTCAATTCCATGCACCCCTGCCCCCACAGGCATCTATATTCCCTACTACAGCTACTTACGTATAAACGAAGTATGTGTAAGCCCAGGCACCAGACTTTTCTGACCAGGGAGTGTTTCTCAGGTGACCACATTTATCTTCTACAGAGCTTCGAAGATCTGTAACATCATTTGATGGCTAACCTTCAGGCCTCTGCAACCTAGCAACTCTGCTTCCTGGGATTTCTGTTCTGAGTCCCTCCTCCTCCACGCTCTCTTTATAATTCTACTCCTTTCATCTGTGCCTGCTGCGCAAAGCCTGAGATCTAGTCATCCACATGAGGAAGGCCAGTTTTATAAATCTTTACCTCGGTAAAGACTGCAACCACTTCAAGAATGTATCTCTCCGTGTGGGTGAGTGTTGGATCAGGCAGCATGCAGAAAGGGAGTGTAACCTTACACATTCAGGAGAGGAAACCAAGATGTTTTAGCGTGAATATGTTTGAAAACAAAGTAATGTGCTTACAAGATTAAACTAAGGGTCCTTCCTGTGTATTTTTCTATATAGCCACCTTGTGTTTGTCAAAGTGCAATCTCTCATCAGCAAATCACCGGCAAAGTGAACCCACACAGAGCACACGTCACCAGCTGGAAGCCCTGTAGTGGGCCAGATCTCATCCACAGATATATTTCATTAAGGTCACAGGGCTTTAAAACAGATATGAATTCACTGCCAATATTTGAAAATTAGGAGATTTCACATTAAAATCAGATTCACAGCTTCCCTTGAAAAATCAGATTTGACTCAGGTCTCCATTCCAGCATGCAATGACCAAGCTGCCCTTTCCAGTGGGCGATACTATCCAGTTTGCTACCATCACCTGGTGGCAATATCTACCAGGTCCCTTCTATGAATCCTGCAGTTCAGCCTCAGATCATATATTTGGAAGACAGCTTCTGAAGGTCTTCTTTGCTTTTCCTCCATCTCTTTTATATTTCTCAGTACGCAAGCACTTTACTTCCCAGTGAGAAGTTACAAGACCACAGACTTTGAGCCACATTTCTAGGTCGTCTTGTCAATAGGGAAAAAGACAAGGTTGTGTTTGGACACACACTTTTCCCTGTTCTTGCATCCCTGATGTAAAAATCTGAGATTGAGAAGTGAATTAGAGGGAAAGGACAAGGAGCTGGCCCCCTCACCTGCCCAAGCCTGTCTCTAGCCAAAGCAAAAAACGTCTTCTGATAGCATCGTGGAAATTATTGTAGTTTGGGATCAAAGACATGTAGTGATATTTCTGGTGTTCCTCATTACTGAATAAAGGGATAAAACTCTTCTGGATTCCAAATAATATATCCACAGATTAGCAGGTATCTACTGACCTTGGTTTCAAAAGTACTGCATTAAAAATGAATTATGGGGGGCTTCCCTGGTGACGCAGTGGTTGAGAGTCTGCCTGCCAATGCTGGGGACACGGGTTCGAGCCCTGGTCTCAGAAGATCCCACATGCCGTGGAGCAGCTAGGCCCGTGAGCCACAACTACTGAGCCTGCGCGTCTGGAGCCTGTGCTCTGCAACGAGAGAGGCCGCGATAGCGAGAGGCCCGCGCACCGCGATGAAGAGTGGCCCCTGCTTTCCCCAACTAGAGAAAGCCCTCGCAAAGAAACGAAGACCCAACACAGCCAAAAATAAATAAATAAATTTTAAAAAACAGAATGCAACACAATTCTTTAAAAAAAAAAAGAATTATGTCATTGCTGCCATTGGTGTTAAAGCAATTGTAAATACCAATGGAAATGCAGGTACCAAACGTAAATGATAGTACTTGGCACCTTATCCAGTGCATGCTTCTCTTTACAGACATAATCTCAAATATCATAATAATTTGTAAGCCTCTGAAAGTATATCCATGTACTGCCTCGATTTTTCTTATCTCCATTGGAGAAACATGAAATTTGCATAATAGCAACTATTTCTCTATAAAATTTTCCCTTTGAGACATCAGATACCAAAAACAAAGCACATCTTAAAACTCATCAATAAGAAAACAACCCAATTTAAAAAAGGGGGTGGGGGCAAAAATTTAAACAGACACCTCACCAAAGAAGATATACAGATGGCAAATAAGCATATGAAAAGATGCTCCATATCCTATGTCCTTAGGGAGTTACAATTAAAACAATGAGATACTACTCCTCACGTACAAAAATAGCCAAAATTCAAAGCACTGACAACACTAAATGCTGACAAGGATGTGGAGCAACATGAACTCTCGTTCATTGCTGGTGGGAATGCAAATTGGTACAGCCACTTTGGAAGACAGTTTGACGAATCCTTACAAAACTAAACATAGCCTTACCATACTATCCCGCAGTCATGCTCTTGGTATTTACCCAAAGGAGTTGAATATTTTATCCACACGGGAACCTGAACATGGATGTTTATAGCAGCTATAGTCACAACTGCCAAAAGTTGGAAGCAATCAAGATATCCTTCGGTAGGTGAATGAATAAGAAACTGTGGTAAATCCAGACAATGGACTATTATTCAACACTAAAAAGACATGGGCTATCAAGCCATGAAAAGACATGGAGGGAGGTACCTTAAATGCATATTTCTAAGTGAAAAAAGCTGCCCTGAAGAGAATACATACTGTATGATTCCAACTATGTAACATTCTGAAAAAGGCAAAACTATGGAAACGGTAAAAAGATCAGTGGTTGCCAAGGGAGAGATGAATAGACAGAGCACAGAGGATTTTTAGGGCAATGAAACTATCCTGTATGATACTGTAATGTTGCATACATTTGTCCAAACCCACGACATGTTATAATTAAAATGGCAAAATTTAAAGATAAAGAGAAGATTCTAAAGGCAGCAAGAG